TTTAATGCTATTACACTCAAGCAATACTATAAAAATGATGGTCATCCTTCGTTTCAATTAAGTTATCAGATGTGTCACACAGCAAGCAATAATATTTTATGTATAAAATCGTTTTTGTATTGTGCAAAAGATATGGTTTAGATTCGTGAATGACACAATCATCGTACTAAAGCTTCAGTACACAAATGGGTTCTGTACATCTAATTATTATTATTACTATAATTTGTTCCTTGAGTTCCTAATGGAACATACTGCTTCAACGGCACATCTCCATTCCATTATGTTCTCTAGAATCCTTTGAACCTGGAGCCACAACTGCCAACAAGCTCTCATTTCTTGCTCACACAATCTCCTCCATGCCACCCCCACCTCACACGCCCAACTCACCCTTTCCCATCTGCCTTACACTCGACGACACGGCCGGACGCGTGATGTCCCCCAATGGTCTTCTCACTACATGCCCAATTCATCTCCATTCCCCTCTGCATTTCCTTAGGTGATAGGTTATTGGTTGGTTCGTTGCCAGACAGCCACACTCCCTTGTTGCGTTTTCTTTCCATTCTGGTCATCTGAGATTCAGTAACGAGCCAGCAGAGGCAGTTGTTGGTGAATATCTGCAGTTTGTTGCAAATGCTTTTCGTAACACTAGAACTCTCTCAATCATCTTATAGAAGTACTGACTTGACTGAATTAGTGTTGAGAATCCGGATGTTGTTCACGCTTTATGCTGAGTGTAGTGCAGAACATCTCCACACTGATCTCAGGATAATGAACACCTGTCTTGCTTTTCCAATCATAGCTCTGACATCATCATCATCATCATCATCTGTGCCTGTGCCTGTGCCGTCCGTAGTTGAAACGGTGATGCCTAAACACGTGAAAGAGGCCACTTCCCTTAAGTTTCTCCCAGTGATGGTGACTGCAGTTTGTTGTTGTTGTTGTTGTTGTCGGTGGTGGTGGCACTGATTGGGTATCTCCACCACCTCCGTCTTCTCTACATCCACTCGAAGTCTCGTCTTCACTACCCTAACTCTTCTGTCAACTTGTTAGTTTTCGCCTTCAGATCTCCGAGTTTTCGCTACAAGACATTAGACATAAATCATGATCGACGAATTCCAAATCGTCTAGGATCTGTTCCCCGCTCCAGCGTATCCCACACTTCTCGCTCCTCACGGTTCGCTGCATGATCCAGTCCACCACAATCACGAAGATCATCGATGCTAGTAGTAGACAGCCTTGTTCCTCTCCTGTCTTCACTTTGAAGGCATCACTCAGCTTCTCATTTTGAATTACTTGGCATGTGACGTCTTCATATAGCTGCCGTTGAAGGAGGTTGATAAAGGTTTGTGGTATTCCGTAGTGTTGAAGCAACTGCCTGTCAAATTACTTATCTGTTGACGCTGTCAAAGGCCTTTTCAAAATCGATGAGGTTGAGGTGAAGTAGAATTGCGTTGACTGCCACTCTATGCTCTGTTTTATGATGATGCAAAGCGTTGCGCATGATTTGTACTCCCTAAATCCAGCCTGTTGCGGTCGTAGTTTTGAATCCAGCTCTCCTTTTAGTCTCAGTTTCTAGGATGATGTCTCTTAATATTTTGGTTGGAGTGGACAAAAGCATGATTGCGCGCCAGTTATTGCAAACACTCAGGTCGACTTTCTTCGTGAGTATGACAAGGTAGCCCTTCTTCAAATTAATGATCAAGTACCTTTCCTTCCTTCTAAGCCTTTTGCAACAGTGGTGTGAGCATGTTAGCTGTTATCCCTTCATCTGTTCTCAGTGCCTCTGGTGGAGGTTCTATACATATATACTCAGAAATATGCACAATCCTTCCTAACCACTAATCAGCAGCATCAAGTCAGCCGTATAGTAGCCTATATGCCAACAGAGATTGATCATTTTAACTTAGTAAAGCAATTAGATATTTCAAATATCAAAAAACAACTTATCTTCGTTATACAAGAGGTGTCCTTCATGCCCCAGTTGTCTAGTAGATAACTGTTTGACGTTTGAAGCGATGGTTTTCACTGTTAATCACCAAGCCGAAATAAACGTAATCCAGTTTACCCAACAACTGGAAAATCAGGAACAGAATTTAGCAATTTCAGATTACAGGATAAATAGAGAGCAAGGGGGAAGTTTAAAGACTAGTTTCTATAGGAAATCTTTTGATTCGAATCCATATATAGCTCTCAAATATTCGCGCTTTGTGTCATTTAAACTAGGTTTTCTTGGTGGTTTTGTGTTCTGTGAACTGGGTTATTTTATAGTGGAGTTTTCATTGCCTTTCCAGATGACGTCATTCTTCGCTAACCTCCATATACCGTGAGGTGCCAATATCTCTCATTGATTGATTCAGTAGCCTTCCCTAGCAAATAAGTTGGTGATAGGTTGTTTCTTTTGATTATTGTGTCACTGACTGCACAGATTTATTTGTTGGTGACCTCTCTGCTTGACCTCTGACCTCGACTGAGCGTTTAAACAACCCAGTTTAGAAGATTCAATGCACCCAGGATTATCCACCTGAGCTAAAAATATTCTCTGCCATTGCAGAGCCTGAGAGGAAGAATCAGACAAATTAGGAGCAGCTTATGACATCAAGTTTATCAACAAACTGATAAGATATTATAAGGAATATATGAGCAGCAATGGTAACAGCTGTTAACAACGATAATAATCGTTAGTTGAGAGATTTGAAGGAAGATTAGAAAGTAATGATGGAGGAGGTGGATAGCAGTCTGAGGAAACTTGAGTGCTGATCGAGTTGTAAGGGCGGTTGACACATCCCGGCTGCCCACACCATGGAAGGCTGTTTCTCCTCAAGATACCTGAAAGAGATTTGTGTGACCACAGAGCCCATCGAACATCTGCTTGAGGCCTGTTACACTCAGCCTTTTGAGTGTGATTATTTTAAACTCTTGTATTTTTGGGGCCGGATGGTCGAAAGGAAACGACAAATGAACCAATACCACCGGCTTGGCGGACCGCAGGGCATGGTGTAGTGTTCTTTTGGGGGCCGACCTATTCTAACCCCCCCCCCCTCTTTCATTGAGAAGGCAGCATCAGCATGGCACTGATGGTCATCCAAGGGAAACACTTTACTGCTGTCACACCCCATCCAGCTAGCAGCAGTACGACTTCACCCTCAGACCCCCGTCATAGTGTAGCAATTTACACTACAACGGTAACTGCTTTTTGTCTAACCACTATCCAGAAGACCTTTCTGGTATGGTAAGACCTCGAGGGAACAAGCATTCCATCAACATAGCTCGTTGGATCATTGTGATATGCAAGCCCGACCACCACGTCAAGGTAGCAGCTATCTTTCACCTCACTACCTTTCTACTTGATGTATTGTACTGAGCTGTGTCAAGTTGGACCGTTACGCAGTAATGCCTGGTCCTATGTTGATATTGATGATGATGACAATAATAATACTCAGTCTCAGTAATTATTAATTGTGACACTGCGAAGAGAGGATTTAAAGCGTCTGCCATGTCCCCATACAAAGAAGTCACCTCACGGGTTGTTCTCAGAATCTTGAATACACCTGGGATTAGGGTGACATTCAGACCTAAAATCGAACTTAGAAAATCAAGCTTTGTAGGTCTAAAGATCCTTTATATCCAATCAGGCAAAATAATTTAGTTCACTAGATCCCTTTTAATAACTGCAAGTTGAAGCAAATAGGCTAAAGTAGTTGACCAGAGTCAACTTTGCTGTCTGAGCACAAAAACAAATTCAAATTGAAATTGGTAGATTCTTCTAGTAAGATGGAGAATCTAAAGACATTTGGCTATCGTTATGGATGCATGGATGGAAAGGGAGATTGCTAACGGAATCTTTATTTAGTTTGGGGTTTTGTGGAGATTTAGTGATATTTCGAGGTGGTATTCATCATGGACTGACATCAGTTGGAGGAATATTGGAAACCTGAAAGCACTGGACAGCTGTTTGTTCATAGTATGGGACTGCTCAGTAGTACGCACCCATGACCCCACCCTGTCAGGGATCGGACCGAGGAATTTCAGATTCCGTGACCAGCACGTTGCCATTGAACCACTGGGTTGGAATTCAATGAACCATACTTCCTACTTCTGTCAGTTGGTGACAGCACGACTATCACCCATAACCACCAGCGGTGCAAAACTGGTGGTCCTGAGTTCAAATACTCAACGATGACATTGGGTGATGGTTGCACTATGTCGTGAACTGACAGAAATAAGAGACAGGCACCACTGGATTCTGATCCAGTGGTAACGTGGTAACGTGGGGACCATGGAACCTGAAAGTCCTAGGTTGGAACCCTGACGGCTTATGGGTGCTCACTGCTAAGGAGTCGTATGCTAGGGCAAAGGAGCCATCCAGTTCTCCCATGTTCCTGATGTTTCTCCAACTGATGTCAGCCCATGATGAATACCAAATTGATGAGAAATCACTAAATCCTCACGATTATCAGATTCAAAGCTACATAACTCTCTAACTATTTTACGGTAAATTTATATTGTATTGGATCCATTAATTTAGCCTTGAAGTTACTTTTTCCGATCAGCATAGTGTGACCTGTTTCATGGAGAAGGTCATGAGTTTCTTTTGGTCTATTTAACTGAAAAGTTGTCCAAATATTATCCTAAGCACTGTACAAGACTAATGTTGTTGCTTGTGTTATCCTGTCATTGATTGGACTGAATTGATCGGTCTCCACTGATATATGAGCAGCTGCGTGAATCCCTTGATATTGCTTGTGTTTAAAATAATAGATTGTTAAACGATAGTGACAAGCAGTGAAATCTAAGACACGTGCTTCCTCTTCTCCGGCACTCGTCAGGCACGTAAGTCTAACTTACGAGTCTTAAATGGGACAAAACAAGCATCCTGCATTCCACCGTTAATTCCAACTAATCCAAAGTGTGTTCCGCTAAAATATGGTCCAATAAATGTAATGTGTTGGTATGCCTGTACACACTGACCTCAAATCATTCTTGTTTCTATCTATTCACAGGGTTATGTTGATGAATCGGTCTCGAAAATACTGTCTTCAGTTTATGAAGGTCGAGTTATTGCATTGGATAGGTAAGAAGTGAATTAAACTACCTACTGTAAAAACATATTATTTGTATTCATATACTCTGATAATATAACCTTTACTTGTAATTAAAATATTGGTAAGCAACGTTTCTACAATTTTGAAGTCAAGACAGGAGTAAGACAAGGTTGCCTACTATCACCCATCATCTTCCTGATTTAGGTCGACTGGAATGGATCATGCAGCAAACAGCTGCGGGCAGTAAGAAGATGGGCATACGCTTTTTGATCAATGAGAAGACACCAGAAGAAGACTTAGATTTGGCCAACGATGATGATTTGTGTCTGATGTCTTGCTCGAACAAACTCGAAAATGTACAGGCGAAAACCAACAAGTTATCAGGACAGGCAGAGTAGTGTAAACGGGATTTCAAGTGAACGCAGAGAAGACACAGGTGATGAATATGCTCAACCAACAAGAACATCAATAACGACAACAAGAAACAACGAACCCGAGAAACCTGATGAAAGTGGTCTCTTTCACCTGCCTACCTAGGCAGGCGGCATCAGCTACAGGTGGCTGCACAGATGAGGATGTCAAAACTAGGATCGGAAAAGCAAGGCAGGTTTTCATTAATCTGAAATAATCAGTGTGGAGATCTACTGCACTCAGCACAAAGAACAAGATCCGGATTTTCAACACCAATATCAAGTCAGTGCACCTATATGGTTGAGAAACTTGGCGCGTCAAGTAAAGCACTTCTAACGAACTACAGACATTCTTCAACAGCTGCCCCCTACGCTCACTTGATACTGAAGATCAGATCAAATAGCCAGGAAGAATAAGCAATAAGGGACTCTGGTAACGAATCAACCGAGAACCTATCACCCAACAAATATGCAGAGGAAGAAAGTGGAGATGGATTGGGCATACACTGAGAAGGCCGACTGGGGGTATAAGGCACCAGGTCTTCTAGCGGAATGGAACTGGAGAACGGCGAGTTGGGCATCCGAGGCGACGGTGATATGTAGGAGATGGTGTGAGGAAGAAATGAAAGGTTGTGGGTAGTCATGGCGCCAGTTTCAAAAGACTGTAGAGAAGAGAGTGCAATGGATGCGTGCTTGTGAAGCCGTATGTTTCAGTAGGAACTCCATAATAGGCCCACATGATTTCAAGAAACGCATTACTTAAAAACGTTGAATAGATATTTTTCTCCCCCCAGTTTCATACTTCTCGTTAAGGGGATTTTTCCGCTTAGAACCACTGCTTCTCATGGTGAATAACCACCATTTTCCCAATCACATAATGTTAGCCAAAGTAGCTTTAGGCTGTTAAAGGGCTCTGGATAGCCTGACTGAAACATGGCGTCAATGCATAAAGTTATTGACTGTTCGGTTGAGCCATGTAGGGTAATACAGACTAGCTGGTTGGAGTCCACGGAACAAGAGAAACATTTGGTTAGGGACTTTAGGTGACATGGTTTAGAACAGATGTCGGTGGCACAGATAAATCCAAACATTATCCTCATCTTAACCGATATACTTAATTAATCTCATCATTTTCTCACTCCTCCCTTCTTTACTAAAATCTGTTTCTCTTGGCAGATTTTTCTTTCCCTCTTCATCTACCATTTTATTGTCTTGTTACTTGATGTACTAACATGGGGTGTGGCAACTTGTACCGTTACACAGTAACACCTGATTCATGGTTGATCTTGATGACATTTAAGCTTTATAAGGCGTCAAGGTGTGAACACATCTGTGCTTTTGTTATTGATTTTAAGCCATTACATCAAGTATACTCAACCACTGATTCCTGTTGTCAAGAGGATCCTAATCAGCTAGTCAACGGCTCCTTTTATGGCTTAAACTAATAGTCAGGGACTTTATAAACTAGTGTCACATCTTGATCTGGCAGCTTCGAGGTGGGTGGGGCTCAGCATCCACAACATATATTCAGATCACTCCCAGTCGACTAAGGTTCACAACCTTATAGACTCTTTTCACTTCCTGGACTTATATGCTTCACCTAACCTCAAGATCCTTAGCATGGTGATTCTACCATGTGCCAACAATACTATGGAGACATCTGTTACCACAACTATGTAACCTCTTCATGTCTTCTACTTTTAAGACGAAAATGAATAATGATTGACTGTGTTTCATGTTTGAAAAACTGTATTACTTCTCCAATCTTTTAATATGAACTAATTACAGCATATAAAATCATAAAATGATTTGAACAATCCATGGTATACTGATTTAACATCACGTCAAGTTGAAGAAGAACCTATCAATTGAGGCATGATTATTCACCATTAAAATTGTATTAAAGAATGTAGAGAAAGAAAAAACAGTGAAATGTTTTACTGTTAAAATTACCTTAACATTTATGGAATTAATTCAATTAAAAGGTTTGTGGGGATTGGTTGATTTCAAGGTGATCTCCATTATGAATTGACCAATCATTGAAAACCTGTGATGACTATCGAATTTTTACTTCTATTTCAGAAGAATTATACTATTCTCGACCACTTATCTATTGTAAGACGGAGATTTTATTATTCATTGATGACGGTTGATAATTCTTATTTGTATAGCAACATTTAATTTCCAAACCAGACTGCTTTAGCAATACTAACTCTAACAGAAATCGATAGGTATTTCATATGTATGAGCATAGAATGACAATCAACGTAATTCTACTTCACCTCAACCTCATCGACTTTGAAAAGGCCTTTGACAGCATCAACAGATAAGTAATTTGACAGGCAGTTGCTTCAACACTACGGAATACCACAAACCTTTATCAACCTCCTTCAACGGCAGCTATATGAAGACGTCACATGCCAAGTAATTCAAAATGAGAAGCTGAGTGATGCCTTCAAAGTGAAGACAGGAGAGGAACAAGGCTGTCTACTACTAGCATCAATGATCTTCGTGATTGTGGTGGACTGGATCATGCAGCGAACCGTGAGGAGCGAGAAGTGTGGGATACGCTGGAGCGGGGAACAGATCCTAGACGATTTGGAATTCGTCGATCATGATTTATGTCTAATGTCTTGTAGCGAAAACTCGGAGATCTAAAGGCGACAACTAACAAGTTGACAGAAGAGTTAGGGTGGCGAAGACGGAACCTCGAGTGGATGTAGAGAAGACGGAGGTGGTGAAGATACCCAACCAACAACAACAACAACAACAACAACAAACTGCAGTCACCATCACTGGGAGAAACTTAAGGGAAGTGGCCTCTTTCACGTGTTTAGGCATCACCGTTTCAACTACGGACGGCACAGGCACAGGCACAGATGATGATGATGATGATGATGTCAGAGCTATGATTGGAAAAGCAAGACAGGCGTCCATTATCCTGAGATCAGTGTGGAGATGTTCTGCACTACACTCAGCATAAAGCGTGAACAACATCCGGATTCTCAACACTAATTCAGTCAAGTCATTGCTTCTATATGATGATTGAGAGAGTTCTAGTGTTACGAAAAGCATTTGCAACAAACTGCAGATATTCACCAACAACTGCCTCTGCTGGCTCGTTACTGAATCTCAGATGACCAGAATAGAAGGAAAAAGCAACAAGGAAGTGTGGCTGTCTGGCAACGCCCCAACCAATAACCTATCACCTAAGGAAATGCAGAGGGGAATGGAGATGAATTGGGCATGTAGTGAGAAGACCATTGGGGGACATCACGCGTCCGGCCGTGTCGTCGAGTGTAAGGCAGATGGGAAAGGGTGAGTTGGGCGTGTGAGGTGGGGGTGGCATGGAGGAGATTGTGTGAGCAAGAAATGAGAGCTTGTTGGCAGTTGTGGCTCCAGGTTCAAAGGATTCTAGAGAACATAATGGAATGGAGATATGCTGTTGAAGCAGTATGTTCCACTAGGAACCCAAAGGACAAATAATAATAATGGCTGTTCACTTCAAACGTCTTTTAGACTTGAAAACTGTCATAAATTCATTTGGGTTAAAGATTTTCTCACATTTTGATCCTTGGGTCATGCTGAAATAGAATTCTTCTGCCTACAACACTATTATCTGCTATAATTCACATCAAGCCTACCTATCTCTTTTAATAACAAGTATGAAGTTATCAGAAAGACAATTATTCTCTATGCGAGAGCGCTGAGAAATTGAGTTACATCTATAATAGACTGCTTTCAGTCCTATCTTAATGGTATATTTTTGTGAGTTGTTTTCCAGCTTCCTTATTTGTCGGCTGAAGGTAGTTTTGTTTTGTTGTAGACGCTTTGAGTTATTCTTTTTTCACTGTAATCACATCAGCGATATCTGTAATGCTAGCCAACAACACTCCATTCGGTGAGGTGAAGTAGCCAAGTTTTCGACTATTTTCATCACTAACATAATAAATTGTTTCCAGTCCCAACAGTTTTATAAATAAGAAGGTCAAGGAGATAAGACATGAGTATTTATGACACACAGATACAGAAAATCAACATAGTACCTCGCAAAAAACTGCATTAGAGTTCAATTTCCTACAGATAACAGTAGTTTGCAAAGAACTAGTGGATAGGAAAGTGACGTTAAATTATACGAAGGTGTATGAGAGAAGGGAATTTAAAAACTAGGGTTATTCAAAACATTCAAGCTTCATATGGCGTCTAATTGAGAATACAGTTGTGAAATTTTACCAAGAGTTGTCAACCACCGATTCCTTCAACCTCCTACGCGAATGAGATTAGCAGTCAGGGACTTCATGGACTGATGCCATATCTTGATCTGACCACCCTGAACCCTTTTTCAACATAATCCAACCTCTTCTCGTAATGAACGTCGAGGGAAACAGTGGCTTAGGATGCGCAGCACATGTACATGTCATCTCAGTCAGTGAAGGTTTAACACTTCGTCAACGGAATTTCCTTCCTTTTTCTAGTACCATTCACCTAACAATGATTGCACCATATACAAACATATGGTCAAAGATCTGTAACCGCTTCTTATCTTTCACCTTCAACGACCATTTCTCACACCACCATGGTGGAATACAGCAAACTATAGCAAGGTATTCTCACTCCTA